TGTATACACCGTCCCCTCCCCTGCCACCTGCCCGACACCCGATAAATGTTACTCCTATATGTCCACTTAGGTGTTGATCCACTAATACCAATTTGCTGGTGAGTACACGTGGTGCCTGATTTTCCATTCTTGGGATACTCCACTTAGAATGGGCTCCAGCTCCATCCAGGAAAATGCAAGAGGTGCCAGATCACCGTTGTTTCTTAAAGCTGAATAGTCCTCCATGGTGTACATACACCACATTTTATTAATCCACTCATGGATTGGTGGGCACTTGGGTTGTTTCCACATCATTGCGATTGTGAATTGTGCTGCTATAAACATTCGAGTGCAGGTGTCTTTTTCATAAAGTGACTTTTGTTCTTTGGGTAGATGCGCAGTAGTGGGACTGCTGGATCCAATGGTAGGTCTACTTGTGTCGCTTTAAGCTATCTCCATATTGCTTTCCACAGAGGTTGGACTACTTTGCAGTCCCAAGGAGCAGGTTTAAATTAGGATAGGACAGTGGAAAATCAGAAAAAAACAAAAGCAAAAACTACTGTCTTATCCAGTCATTGTCAGCTGCGGGCAATTTTGTTCCCCCGGGAAATTTCTGGCAATGTCTGCAGACATTTCTGGTTGTCAGATCTAGGGGGGGGGGGTCCTGGCACCTAGTGGATGAAAGCCAGGGGTGCAGCTCACCACCCTGCAGTTCGCTGGACAGCCCCCACGACACAGGATCATGCAGCCCCGAATACAAATAGTGCAGAGGTTCAGAGAACCCTGGCCTTGACCTTGACCTTCACATTTCAACCACAGGACTCTGGCTGAGCGCTCCTAGACTGCAAGTGACAAGGGTCCCAGGTGGATTCCCAGGACCAGAGACTGTACACTGTTAGAAGGAGGGGAGTATGCAGGTCATTTCTGGGTAGCATGCCTGTCATATGAACACAAAAGTAATTTCCAGGCGATCCTCCTGCCTGGGCCTCCCAGAGTGCTGGGATTACAAGTGTGAGCCACCGCGCCTGGCCTTACTTTTTCTTTATATCTTGATAGGGGTAATCAATTTTCTGTAAACCTAAAATCGCTCTAAAAAATAAAGGCTACTCAGGAGTTCAAGACTAGCCTGGGTAACATACTGAGACCCTGTCTCTGCAAGAAATTAAACATTGGCCGGGCGAGGTGGCTCACGCCTGTCAACCTAGCATTCTGGGAGGCCGAGGCAGGCGGATTGCTCGAGGTCAGGAGTTTGAGACCAGCCTGAGCAAGAGTGAGACCCCGTCTCTACTAAAAATAGAAAGAAAGTAATTGGCCAACTAAAAATATATAGAAAAAATTAGCCGGGCATGGTGGCGCATGCCTGTAGTCCCAGCTACTCGGGAGGCTGAGGCAGGAGGATCGCTTGAGCCCAGGAGTTTGAGGTTGCTGTGAGCGAGGCTGACGCCACAGCACTCATAAAAAAAAAAAAAAAAAAAAAAAAAAAAAAAAAAAAAAAATCACGCCCCTAACTGTAACGGGAGCTTGCTTGCTCCCTGTGCCTCAGTGTTCTGGTAGATAAAACTAGAATGGTCTTTAGGGCTTCACCCAGGTCCGATGTGCTAGAATTTTACGTGTCTTATGCAGCAGCCACGTAGCAAATGCAGTGAGCCAGGCTTATCTCCTGCCCCAGTCCTTCGCCATCCGCATGCCCCGGGCACTGGGCTTCCTGACCTTTAAACATGGCTTGGGAACGTGGCTCCATGCATCCGAGCACGTGATCCTGAACGCCCATTCGTATAACTTAATTCTAGACAGAGTTCAAAGGGAGCGGTGCGCCTGCAGGACTTTGTCCCCTACTCAAGTGAGTTCAGCAGAACACGCCTCCTTCGTGAAAACATAAGCTAAGGGTGACATCCTCACCCCTATTTCACAGACCAGAAACTGAGCCCCTGAGTTGTGAGTCAGATGTCCCGAGTCACCGTGACCCAGGAATACCTGCTATCATTTAGTGGATGTGGATGTTCTGCCAGGCTATGTGATAAGAGTTTGCGCCAATGCATTCATTCCTTCCTCACAATAGTCCCAGGAGGCAGAAAACTATGTTGTCTCTCTGTTCAGCAAGTGGAGGCTCAGAGAGGTTAAGCAAATTGCACGGTCCACACAGCTGATAAGTAGAAAAGCTGGTGTCAGAATCAGTCATTCTAAGTACATAGACTATTCTCAGTAACTCTGTAGCACTGTTTTTTTGTCACTTAATATAATTTTATTTGCTCCTCATCCTAATACTATACTAGGTATTTATTTTATTGTTTTTTATTTTTGAGGCAGAGTCTCACTCCGTTGCCCAGGCTAGAGTGCTGTGGCATCAGCCTCGCTCACAGCAACCTCCAACTCCTGGGCTCAAGGGATCCTCCTGTCTCAGCCTCCCGAGTAGCTGGGACTACAGGCATGCGCCACCATGCCTGGCTCATTTCTTTTTCCTATATATTTTTAGTTGGCCAATTAATTTCTTTGTTTTTTTAGTAGAGACGGGGTCTTGCTCTTGCTCAGGGTGGTTTTCAACTCCTGACCCCCAGCAATCCTCCCGCCTTGGCCTCCCAGAGTGCTAAGATTACAGGCGTGAGCCACCACGCCTGGCCTCTTTTCTCCTGTTTTTATAAGGACACCAGTCATAGTAGATGAAGGACCCACCCTACTCTCGTTTCTTATTCTGTTATATCTGTAATGACTGTGTTTCCAAACAAGGTCACACTCTGAAGTGCCGGGAGTTGGGATGTCAGTACATCTTTTCGGGAGGAGGATGGGGGGGCCACAACCCTGCTACAGCCAATGTCCCGCAGATCTGGTGGCATGAAGTTTTTGAAATAGATAATTGGATCCCTCTCCCAGCTTCCCGTCACACTGAGAATACAGTGCAAAGTAGGACCGCCACGCTATCCTTCAGTCTGGCCCCTGCCTTTTTCTCCATTCACATCGCCTCCCACGTCCTGCCTTACTAACCTGAGCCAGCCACGCAGACCGTCTCTCTCTGCCCAGAACATTCCATGCTCCTTCTCCCTCCAGGGTCTTTGCTGTTCCTTCTGTCTGGAATGTGCTTCCATCAGATGTCTGCCTGGCTCTTTGTCACTTCCTCTACGTCTTCCCACCAGGGTCACCTTACCGGGCGCAGTCCACTCCTGTTCCTTCTCTTGTTTGGTTTACTTTTTTATTTTTTTGAGACAGAGTCTCACTCTGTTGCCTGGGCTAGAGTGCCGTGGGGTCAGCCTAGCTCATAGCAACCCCAAACTCCTGGGCTTAAGCGATCCTCCTGCCTCAGCCTCCCGAGGAGCTGGGACTACAGGCATGTGCCACCGCGCCCTGCTAATATTTTTCTACATATATTTTTAGTCAGCCAATTAATTTCTTTCTATTTTTAGTAGAGACAGGGTCTCCCTCTTGCTCAGGCTGGTTTCAAACTCCTGACCTTGAGCAATCCTCCCGCCTTGGCCTCCCACAGTGCTAGGATTATAGGTGCGAGCCACCAGGCCTGCCCTTGTTTGGTTTTCTTTATAATGTTCAGTACTACATGCCGTTATATCTCATATTTATTTGTTCATTATAGTATATGTCTCACACACTGGAATGTAAACTTCATGGAGGAAGTAATTTTTTAATTCAAAAGCCTTGCAGAGGCCGGGCGCTGTGGCTCACGCCTGTAATCCTAGCTCTTGGGAGGCCGAGGCGGGCGGATTGCTCAAGGTCAGGAGTTCAAAACCAGCCTGAGGGACCAGAAACAAATTCCAGATAATGCTGCCTATCTCCCTCAGAGGTCTTGCCTGTTTCAGTTCTGTCTCGGAATGTGCTTCCATCAAGATTGGTCTCCTGCCTCTTTGTCCTTACCTCTATTCTTCACGCCACCAGGGTATCACCATTAACTGCGGCGCAGTTCCACTCCTGTTCCTTCTTCTTGTTTTGGGTTTACTACTTTTTTATTATTTTATTTTATTTTTTAATTGAAGGACAGAAAATCGTTCTCACTCTGATTGCCGTGGGCTTAGAAGTAGCCTGTAGGGGTCAGCCGTAGTCTCATAGCAACCCCCAAACTCCTGAGGCTCCAAGCAGATGCCTCGCTGAACCTCAGTAATACCGTTCAACCGAGTAGCTGGGAACTACAGGCATGCGCTTACATAGCCCGGCTTAATTTTTTGAAGATAGTAAAATAATATATATTATTTTTAGTTGGTTCAATTAAATTTAATTTACATATATTTGTTGGGTAGAGACAGTTGGTCTCGCTTCAGGCTGGTATCGGAACTCCTTGACCTTTGAGCAATTTCCGCCCGCCTCGGCCTCACAAAGTGCTATTGTTTTACAGGTCGTGAGCCCCACCTATGCGGCATTCCGGCCTGGAGAGATTTTCATTGATATCATTCCATATCTGTTTAGAGATAGAACTTCTTTCTTTCTTTTTTTTTTTTTTTCTTATTTTTTCGCTATGCATTGTTTTAATTATCTTTCTTTTTTTTTTTATAGCTGCATAGTGTTCGCCTTTGGGGACATAGTTTATTTAATCAGTTCCCTACTGATAAATACTAACTGCTTCCCATCTTTTGTGGGGCTGGAACTTTTTTTTTACTTTTTCTATTTCTTTCTTTCTCTTTTTTTAATTTTACCTTCTTTCTTTCTTATTTTTCTATATTCTGTTTTTGTCATTTTCTTTCAAGCAAGGGACAGGAACTTTTATTGCACGCGAAATGCCCTAGTCTTGAAGTCTTCCTGCACAAAGCAGTTGGCAAACGCACAATGATATTAACAGAAAAAAAAGAAAGAGCGCCTGCATGAATGCATGAACGACGACTGAAGAAGGCGCAGTGACAGAGCGGAGCAGGAGTGATTGACAGCGAGGAGGCCCAGAGGCGGCCCGCGGGATGCGCCGTGCTGCGCGCCGGCCCCGCCAGGTGGCGCTGCAGGCGGCGGGCGCGCGCGGGCGGGCGGGCGGCGCCGCTCTCGACGTGGGGCCGCGGGCGCCGGCGCCGCGACGGGCGCGTGGTAGGGCGAGTCATATGACCTGCTCGGCTTCCTGGCTCCGCGCCGCCGCCGCCCGCCCGTGTCAGGCCGTGTCGTGCCGGGGCCCCGCGGAGCCGTTGGGGTGAGGGCCGAGGCCCGCCTGTGTGGAAGCCGCCGCCGCCCGTGCTCCCGCCGCCGCGGCCCGCCGCCGCCATCATGCTGGCGCTCATCTCCCGCCTGCTGGACTGGTTCCGCTCGCTCTTCTGGAAGGAGGAGATGGAGCTGACGCTCGTGGGGCTGCAGTACTCGGGCAAGACCACCTTCGTCAACGTCATCGCGGTGAGCCCCGCCGCCCGCCCAGCCGCCCGGGGGCGTCGCGGCCGGCGGGGCCCGCCCGGAGGCCCGAGTCGCCGCCGCTCGCCACCCCGCGGCGGGACTCGCGGGGCCGGCGAGGCCGGCCCTGGGCCTGCCGCCCGCCCCGGCGCCGGGCTGGGCCTCCGCGTGCGGCCGCGGCGGCGGCTGCAGCGCCGAGGGCTGGCGGCGGCGGGGGCCTTCGTGCTGTCCGGCCGTCTTGGAGGGGCCTGGCTTGGACGGGGTTAGAGGGAAAGCGTTGGAGTCGGGCTTGCCTTTATTTATTTTATTTATTTGTTTGTTTACTTTTAAAAGCGCTTTGGGGGTCGGGGTTTCCCTTGGGGTTCCGTTGAGAGCCGGGGGGCAGCAGCCGAAGCCCCGTGAGCAAGCCTCAGCCTCGAGAAGAGCCCCTCTCCCCCAGGGTGGCCGGGGAGCGGCCCCCTGGGGGCAGCGGCGGGCCGGCGTGGCGCTCGCTCCCGGGCTCCGGGGCCGTTTGTCCCGTCTGCTCAGTGGCTCGTTTGCACCCGTCCGTCCGTGTCCCCCGCCCGGAGAGCCGGAGGTGGGCTGATGACTGAGCTCCAGCTGCGGCCCTTCGTGGGCGATGTCAGTTAGGGTCCAGCCAAGGAGAGGAGTTTGTTTTGTTCTTTGTTTTTTTTTTCCTGGTTGTCTTAAAAGCGTGCATAAGGAGACAGATCTGTATGCAGTCAGCGTAAGGTTATTAGCTGCCCCTGCGAGCAAGGGGTTGGTCTCTAGGTGGGGTGTTCGTTTCTCACTTCGAAGAGAAGGGAAGGGGCAGTAGCAACGTGGCTTTCTTTTGTCAGGCTCAGGGGAAAAGGGTGTCTTGGGATGGAGACTTGGCGGCTCCCATGGCTTACAGGCAACGTGGGGTGTTTATTTATTCAGCGCTGATTGGAGTGGGAGGGTGATGATGCAGTTGTGCTCGATTTGGTTGGTAGGAGAAGAAAGAGTGGAGGATTCCCCCGACGTCTTTCGTTTGGAGCCGCGGAGTTGTGCCGTGACTGGGTGGGGGCTTGTACGTGGCCAGGGATCTTTAGGACTGCTGTTATAGAGAGAGAGATGACAGCCGTACGTCCAGGATTGTCGGAATCCTTTAACAGAAGACTAGCTGGCGGACTGGTTTGGTTGCAGGAATGACTCAAACACGGCTCCCATGTTGGAGAAAATAGGTAACTTGTGACTCTTAGTCCTTGCAACAACAGAGCAACAGGAGTGAGTAAGGCTTGGAGAGAAGATTAGCAGAAACCCAAACCTCCTTAGAAGAATGTTGCATGTAAGGAAAATTTACCTATTTGTTTGGCTCCCTTTGTAATATTATGATTGTTTTTTGGCTTGGAATGGCTATCTTTTCCACAGGAATAGGGGAGTGGAACGTGTACCTAATACCAGTAAAATTAATAAGGAAAAACAAACTTTGGGCCACATATCCATATTAAAACTTTTATGTGATTTGAAAAAGACAATGCCTTAGCCTGAGTGAAGTTGAGCTCAGTTAACTAAATTTTCTGATACTCCCTTGAGATGAGATTTGGAGTCATCTTGTCAATCCTGTCTCTTTGACAAGATTGAATTAATTTATAGTGTAGATAAGTATATTAATACAATCATTTGTATTTGTCGGCAGAGAAGTAGTTATTCATGGGAAATCTAAAAAAGTTGAGTAAGTCTGAGAAACTTCTTGATGATTTTCATGCTCATGTTTTCCTTAGACAAATGTAGCCTAATAGAATGAGCATGGACTTTGAAGTCAAGTCCGATTGCACTGTGGATTTGAAATCTGGCTCTGCCACTTAGCAGCCTTGTATCCTCTTTGAGTCCTTGCTTTCTCATCTATTAAGTGGAGATAATAATATGTTACTTAAAGGATTAGGCCAGGCGTGGTGGCTCACGCCTGTAATCCTAGCACTCTAGAGGCTGAGGCGGGCAGATTGCTCAAGGTCAGGAGTTCGAAACCAGCCTGAGCAAGACCCCATCTCTACTATAAATAGAAATTAATTGACCAACTAAAAATATATATACAAAAAATTAGCCAGGCATGGTGGCGCATGCCTGTAGTCCCAGCTACTCAGGAGGCTGAGGCAGGAGGATTGCTTGAGCCCAGGAGATTGAGGTTGCTGTGAACTAGGCTGATGCCACAGCACTCACTCTAGCCTGGGCAACAAAGTGAGACTCTGTCTCAAAAAAAAAAAAAAAAAAGTTACTCTAAGGATTAAATGAAAGGAAAGATGTTAGGTGACTAGCACCATGCCTGCGTATAGAAAGGGGTAGGTAATGGTAACTGTTATTATTTGTAATGGGTGTACTCATTTAATGCAGAAACAATGTTTTCAAAAATATCGAGGAGGGACTCAGCTGGAATCATTTCCTCCTTTGAATCTCTGTGTGAATCCAAATGTGGGTTGCAGTAGTGCATTTATGAATTGTTGAAAGTAATCCCATCATGTCCTGTCTTCCCCCTTTTTTGCATTAGATTACTACAACAGCAAAACTTCTGCAAAGCTGTTGAACTTAAAGTGAGTCAGTGGCTGCACTATTATATTAACATTAACCATTCTTTTTGAATTATAGTGGTGTTGGTAGGTTGTGTTAAAAAACATCAGTCACCACGAAAAATAAGTGAGGTGATCTGTATGTTACCTTGCTTGGTTTAATCATCCCACATTTTATACATATATCAAAACATCATATTGTGCCCCGTAAATGTATACAGTTATCATTTGTTAAAAGTAATATTAATAAAAAGAAAAATCTAGACTGTAATTGGCTGTGGGTTTTAAGATACTGAAAAGATCTTGGTAAATTTCATACCTTTTTTTTTTTTTAAACCTCAGACTATAACCCAATCTGTGATTCTTACAGAGTGTAATGAAGGTGAGGAAAAGGTTTGTGACTAAAGATGATTTTTACAGATTTCTAAATAGAAACAGTGTGTTCAGAATAGTAAAGTTAGCCTTATCTTTCAAAAAACCAATTGCACTGTATTTTGTATTATGTATATAGTGTTTTGATTTGTAGAATCAGAAATACAGATGTGTTGAGCACTATATCACCTTTTAAAACAAGTTCAACAAGTAACTTCCCAGGTATGAAAAGTTTTCAGTGAAGCCAGTTTTCTTTTTGTAAAAATCAGCTTTTTGACAATATCAAATTAAAATATCATGATATCTGCCTTACATGTTAAGAAAGATTTAAGATTTAATATATGCCATTTAACTTAATCAACTTAATCAAAAGGTTGTGAAGCTGAATTACTTATGTAGGGTTTGATCCAAGGAAGCTTAGTTACGGAGATGTTCAGACTTAAAATGCTTATTCTTAGTGTTTTAAAACTGAAATGATACCTCATTTAACCTAATATTTGATGTAGTAAAAAGTTTATATACATAGTGGGGTTTGGGGGACATTATAAAAAGAAACACCCTAGTCTTTACTTTTCTGATTCGTGTTAGGGAATGAAATATTGCTCATTGCTAACTATTCTGGCAGTTATTGCATAATAAGTCATGTGTCCTGTATGTGTAATGTATATTGAGTAGTCTTTATTTTTAACTTAGGCTCATGGTTAGCTTATAGTATGGTTACTAAGAAATATTTAATAGGATTTATCAAAATAATATAGGATAAGTTTTATAGATGTGTGTTTTTATTTATTTATTTTGCCAATTAATATTTTACTATTTATAGTAGAGACGGGGTCTCACTCTTACTCAGGCTGGTTTCAAACTCCTGACCTCAAGCAATCCTCCCGCCTCGGCCTCCCAGAGTGCTAGGATTGCAGGCCTGAGCCACTGCGCCCAGCCCAATAATGCATTTTAAATGACTTTCTTAGAGGATATTTTACAACTTAATGGACTTTTTAAGTTTCTTAAAAATATAGTAAGTAAATGGTCACTGAACATGGATACAGAATGCATTGAACCTATAAAAAAGTTACTGAAATGTTATTTGTAGATTTTTTTCCTATTAAAACAATACAGGCTCATTAGTGGAAATTTGAAAAGTAGAGAATAGTATAAAGTAGAAGAAACCTTGTATTTCCACTGTCTAGGTTAACTATTGTCAACATTTAAAGATTTAAAGTATTTCCTTTTTGTCTTTTTCCCCCCCCTGTGGACCTATATAGAGAAGTACGTTTTTATCTTTTTAAAATCCAAATGCCCCTCCTCCTTTTTTTGAGACAGGGTCTTCTAGGCTCAAGCAATCCACCTGCCTCAGTCTCCCAGTTAGCTGGGACTACAGGTGTGTGCCACTGTGCACACCTAATGTTTCTGTTTTTTTGTAGAGACAGAATCTTGTTATATTATTTATGCTGGTCTCAAACTCTTGGCCTCAAGTGATCCTCCCACCTCGGTCTCCCTACTAGGATTACAGGCATGAGCCCCAAATGCCCTTTAGAAAGTTTTGAGATGATACTATTTATGATACTTCCTGTCTTGAGTTTTTTTCTTTTAATTACTGTGGTGTATCCATCTTTCTAAAATCATTTTTAATGTCTTCGTAGTTTATTCCATTGTGGTATATCTTGTGGATATACTATATTTGGTTCAAATATTCTCATTGGACATTTGAGTGCTTTCCAGGGTTTTGCTGTTGTACAGTAATTTGATCTGCATTTCCTGAGGATGGGTTCAAAGTTGGCATTACTGGGTCAAAGGATATGAACATATTTTATGGCCAAATTGCTTTCCAGACAGTGTGCACTCCCACTGACAAGGTCTTCTGAACAGATTTCCTATATAAAGTTGGACTTGAGTTAAACTCTTTGTCCTTTGGCATTTTTAGGGCAAAACATGTTTAGTTTGTTGATGAGGTAAAGTAAACCAGCAGTATTTTACTATCCTTTTAGATATTGCCCTGTTTCTGTGTTTCATACATTTAAAGAAGTTCCTACTTATGTTTTAGCAACTACCAAGAGTCAGGGTGTCATTTTTCACCTGCTCAGATTATATTGCTGATTATTTTACTGTCTG